GAGAAGGAAAGTGGAGAGGAAGGAAGGAAGGAAAATATGAAGGATAGAAAAAGAAAGAAGGAGGAAATGAAGCAAAAAGACCGAAAGGAAGGAAGGAAGGAAGGTAGGTAAGTAGCAATGAAGGTAGAAAGAAACGAACGTTAAAAGAGGAGGAAGTAAAGGAAAAACAGTTCAGACTGTTCTGTCGCTGAAGGAGACGCAGCTCAGACCTGTTACATACATCAGATACCAGACTGTGAAATTAACAGACTCAAAAACTTGAGTTCAAACACACACACACACACACACACACACACTTCCACGCAAACACCAGCATGTGTAGGTTCTGTGTGTGCGTTTTAGCTGAGCCAGTGAAGCGCATCGCTGTCATGTAACTGAAACTAGTAAACCTCTGTACCAGAACACACACACATCCACACACACACACACACACACTGCTGTTACATGTCCCAGTTGATTATGTGTATTTGTGTGTGTGCTTCTGGCTGAGTGTGTGTCAGAAGTCAGGAAGTAGAGCAGTGATAGCTAATTAGAGCAAGGATCCACAGGAGAAACAGCCCAGGGCTGACGGGTAGAGAGACACTGAGACGAGAGGGGTGGGGGGGGGGGTTACATTAAGAACAGACGAAAGAGCTGCAGGATGAGAGACATTAAGAACGGCAGAAAAAAAGTGGTGGGGACAGAAGTAAACAAACCACGGAGTACAAGTCCGAAACAGTCTGTTCGACATGCTTCAACCTGTACACTACACCACATGCTGTTATAATGCTCCAGAAAGCTTTGTCCGTATCTACTTAATAATCCTCATCAGCCTCCGTGATGTGCAGATATGTGATCACAGACAGGCGTCACAGAGCATGCAGGAAACAGAAGCTTAGACCCTCTGCAGAAGCAGTTTTCTTCCACATAACACTGCATCAAATGACAAATTGTTTTGGCCAGTACTTGCATTCGTTCCACCTCTGTTGCATCAGGCCAACTCTGAGTTCTAATTTAACAAGACTAAAAATCTGGAGTAGCAGCAGCAGCCTTAGTACTGACCCCAGAAAGACAATGAGCTGAACGCAAGAGGCTTCTCATGCTCCTCAAACCGCTCTGATTTTTCCTCTGTGAGGTTTATCCATGATCCATGATCCACCGACTTCTCTTAACTGAATAAACCTGCTGTAACTCGCTTGTTTCGGCCTGATAAATGTCACCTGTTCATGAGGAAGTGCCCGCGAGATCTTATAATTAGCATAATCAACAACACCATATGGCGGCTGTTCTGCTCCGTTTGATGGAGATTCATTCACAGAAATCCAACCCAAGATGTCACACCACTGAGCTTCAAGCACTGCTGCTGGATGTCAGCACACACGTGGTATCAGAGGACCCGGAACAGTTACTTATCACTAACAGAGATGATATCAGAGACGCGTTCACTGTCACCTGCCGTTGGTGAGGTCACACTGTCAGGTGCAGCAGAGGATAATACTGTACATTTGCATAAAGGAGCACCTTCGTAGTGTTGCACATGAAAGGTGACACAGCCTGAAGTGAGATGTTCAGACACAGCCCCAGGACACCGGAGGGGCGTTGGGGGAACGGCAGTTCTGAAGACGCGTACTGGCAGCTTTATTCATCAGGATGTATTTTATAGCTGATTGTTACTTTGACATGTGACTGTTGCTTCCAGAGCCAAATACAGTGAAATCAGACCGACTGCCTCCTTAGTGAAGCAACAAGCAATCAAACCCTAAACTCAGAGAACGGAAGCCAAGAAACACTCCTGAAACTGTGGTGTTCACTAAGTCCAGGTCTGTGATGACCTGCACCTTGACCCGGTGCATCCTGGGACAGGTCCCCGTCTCCCGCTTGGAGAGGAACAAAAGGCCTGATGTGTGTACAGTATTTAGAGGCAGGACAGTGACGTGTGGCGAGACAGATGTGTTCCTCTCGCAGGCCGACATCAGCACTGCTGCAGCGCTCAGTAATGAGGTGAATACTAATTGATTTACTTTTAATTATCCCTCCACCATTTTTTCAATTAAAAAGCTCAGCGGCCCGTCGCTGCGCCGTGATGAGCGCGTCATCTCAACAGTATGCAGCTCTGCAGAACAAAGCCTGTGTGTGTGTTTGTGTTGTTACAAGGCCTTAGGAGATCAAGATGCATGACAGCCATGCACTTCAGAGGCTCAGCAGACTGCCAACATGCACACTGGCACAGAGACACACACCCATACATGTGCACGCCCAAATCACAAAGATTCAAATAGATAACGTGCACACACAAACACCAAAGTTGTGTTTTGCTCTCATCTTTCCCTCACTTTCTCTTTTCTCCCTCTTCTTTATCTCTAAATCTGCCCCCCTCCACCTCTCGCTCTGATGGCTGGGCTTCAGACCCACAACTGGATAAAAGCCTCTTTTCATGTCTGATCATATCTGCCACTTTGTTTTCCAGCCATAGAATCAAGCTATGAATAATGCACATGCACGCACACAAAGACACAAGCACACTGCACAGTGACTGTTTGGTCAGGGAACCACTGATTAAAGTACAAAGTTCATGAGAGGGCTCCATCTACTGGTGACCAGCAGCAATCGCATCCTTTCTGTTAGAAACTCCAGACCTGTGATAGCTGTTATGATTACCACATTAATCATGTACTCAACAAGCATGACAAAATGTGTCTCTGTAGAAGTGCAGTTAGTTTTTTTATCACCGCTCAGCTGTCAGGTTGGTTGTTAATCCAAGCTTTCCCGGCTCCTCCTGTGCACGTGTTGAAGTGCACTTCAGGACAACACTCAGCACTGCAGCTGCTGTGTGGGGAACTTGTGTGGGGTTTTGTCCCAGCCAAATAGTAATTTAAACTTGTTTTTTCTTCCTAATTCCAGTAAGTCTGTGAGGCACGAACTCTTACTGAATCTTGGTTCTTATTCTTTGCTCATTTTGTGACTAAGAACAGAAACTGACTGTGCAATAACCTCATGTCCACATGTTCAGTGTAATGCTGCATTCATGTCATTTCAACCATAAAAACGAGCAGCCGAGTAGGAAAACCCGTGCACGTCAACATCCAACTTGTAATTCTGAGTTGGAGAAATGAGGAATTTATGAGTGTAACAATATTTCCAATTTGGCAGAAGGGACTGGGGAAGTGTCATTACGGGTATGAAGATCTAGTGAAAATGGAAAAACTAGTAAAGCATGTGAACTCCACACGGAAAGGCCCCATGTCAGCCTGGGCCCGAACACAGAGCTTTCTTGCTGTGAGGCAACAGTGCTAACCACAGTGCCATCATGCCGCCTTAACTCGCATTGTATGATCACAAAATAAAATAACACTGCGACTAACAAAAAGTAGCCTAGTAGCAGCAGACTACACAGTGGGCAGCCACCACCTTGGATCACTGTGCCTCCAAGTAGGTTCGATGGGAACTGTTCCCATCCTGCCCATACTGCCCACATGATGTGAGCACAGCATAACATCAGTCAGTTGCTTCCCCAGTTCTGCAATGGGGATAAACAGAGGGGTCAAATGTTTTGTTGGAAGTATTCACAGTATTAAAATCATGACAGCAGACTGAGCTTGATAACATTATGCTGTATGTTTAAAAAAAACTGCACCTTTATTTATTTATGTTTATTTTACCTGCTGCCCCTTATTTCTTTTGTCTTTCCCTGGCCTGTGATAAATTCAACCTTCACCACTGCTTATCAATTCAGGCTGATTTTTGATATGAGCAGTAAACTCTTTGTTTTTGATTGTATGGGAGAAAAAAGTGAGTACTGAGCTGTCTGACAGTATCATGTTCTCTGTTGAACTTCTTTTTCTGCTCCAGCGGTGGCAGAAGTCAGGGACCCACCTGGAGCACCTCGTGTCCCGGTTCTGTCTGGACTCAGAGATGGCTCTGGACGGGATGGACTCCTCCCGAATGCTAGTCATCAGCCCCTGTGAACTGAGCGCATACACACAAAGATGGGAGGTCCCCTTCTCCTGACCCCCGTGTCTGTGACCTTTCACCTCCACAAACCTGCCATGTGACCCATTGTTCACCTCCAGCACCTGGGTAGAAACAGCTGCTCGGGCAGCGTGAAGATGCATGAGCATGTCGTGTCCCAGTGGTGGAATGGAGAGCTGCAGAGCTTTGGTGCCTCTTCACAGTTTATCACGACTAGAAGCCAAGTACAGAAGAAGATCTGTACGGAATCGAAACATTACTGAAGGAAGAGAGACATCACAAATGTCAAGTTTGTTTTTCTGTATGAGGCTTTTCAGACATTTGGTGGAGAGTCAAACCAAGTGCACCTTAAAAACCCCTGAACTGTCAAAGATTTGCTTGAGGGAAAAAAAATATAAATCAGAGAATGTAATCTTTTGCAATGTTTGTATTTGGGGCTGTTCAGAATCTGGGAATTAAAATCAAGCACAACTGGAGTTTTGAGTTGCTTTGTCAAATCCCTGTCACTGTACTGCAGTATAAGCATCCAGGTAGGATCCATTCTTCTTGGCAGAGCAGCACCTCATAAGTATCTATGTGATCTATGATATATTGGTTTTGTCTTTTTTAAAGCGAACTGTTGGCAAACAATCTTCTGCATCTGTTCTTCCTCTAAATTCCAAGATTCTTTGCGTATGGTCAGACCGGTGCCTTGGTGCAGTGGCCATAGCCTGTGCAACCTGATAAACGTCACACAATCCCCGTTCACTCGTGTTGACCCACACTGCTGATCAGCCTCTGTCCTGCGTCACCAAGTATCTCATCTGAAATGTAGAATATGACATGACAAAAAAAAAAGGCTTTTGTAATTTTATTCAGCAAGTTTCAAGATAACCTAAGGCAGTTCTGCTTTATAAGACAATGTGCTTTGTAACTAAAATAGGGTTATAGGATGGTGAAACTGAAGACTTACACTGGTGAGTCTGTTTGTCTGGATGGAGTCATCGCTCTTACTGTTTGCTTTGTATACTGATGTGGCTATTAATTCTGTGACCAGAGACATTTTTACATCATCACTGCTCAGGTGTGCAAAATGGATGAGACATTTTCTTGGCTGTTTAGATAAAGATAATTGCCCAGAAAAACCTTTGCCTTCTGCAGCGTCCTTGGCCACAACAGCAGATTAGCTCATAGAAGAAAAGAGGAGGAGCACGGAGAAGAAGTGAAGTCACCCAAAGACCACAATTGAGCAAAGACCAACACACTAACCAGATCATAGCAGACTGAAAAGAGCTACTGGTGGAAAAACTGGAGAAGCACAGAGAACAGCATGACTGCAGCTCTACCTGGGGCCACTCATCTGCAGTGTTGTCTGACACCTCGAGGATGCAGCTGCAGCTGCAGCTGCTTCACGTCGCACACACAGTGTGTAGAGCTGCTGTGCATGTGGGCATGTTCTACACTGGTTTAGGTTGTTTTTTCCCGCTTAGGTTAACTTTACTGTGGTTTCTTTTTGCAGCTGTTGCTGAGATCAGACCTTTGAGCTTCCAGTCCTGTCACCATCCTCTTTGTTTACTCATCTCAAATTCCAGCAGAGTAAAAACACCAGAAACACGGGCAGTTTTTCAAATTATGGATTTCTAGTTTTGGGACAGAATTGTCTCCGAAGTGTGTTCCAGTGTCCTGTGTGATATCTTCAACTGCAACGTTTTTAATGGCTGTTTCTATTTTATAACAAACGGTTGTGATGTTTACATACCTCGAACTGGGACCAGTGCAGACAACACACACATAATTGGAAATCAATCAACTAAAAATAATATAATATAAATACATTATGAAGTTTCTGTTTGTCACCTACAGCATTCCTTATGTTAAAACTGGAGTTAAAAAGATTACACTGTATGTACTGTAATCTCTATCCACTACTACTCTTCACTGTGTGAATTTTGTTTTAATACCAACTACCTGTACTGCTTCTAATGCCACTTATCGCTGATAACGTATCACCTCTACAATTATTACTACTACTACTGGATACAGTGCTTTGTAGTTTAATATGAGATAATAGAGACTGCTGTGTGGTATGGCTGGATGTAGACTAACAGGTAAGTAAACCTGGGTATATGATCTTCATGATGGAATTCACCGCTTCTTCCAATTTACACCCTAAAGCCTCGTCTTACTTTAATCAGCTCTTCATTTTAATTAGACCGTTAGGAGTGTGTCCCCCATTTGCACTCGGCTAAATGGAGGTAATGTTATGTTCTTCGGAACTTGGGAGAGGCTGTAGCCTACACACTGAGAGACAGGACGTGTGTGCGGACTTCCCTTTCCAGACAACCGCTCCTCTTTAACCACACAGCGAATTACTGAAGCATCGTCAACATCTTTACCTCGGGCTTTAACGACGTGGAGTAACACATTAAAAGCTGTCATTGTGTCGTTTAAAACCTTTTTATCAGCTCTTTTCAGTAAGAGGCTCGCTTTTACGTAAGTACAATGACCTTTTCATTTCGCCATTTGTATTTTCTCCACAGCTCCCCTGAAAATAGGAAAAAACACAGTGATTGTAATGTTTAACCTAATTCACTATTTAGCTGATTTTGTAACGACAGACTACCAACACATAAGAAACCGTGTAATTTGATGATGCTCTTGACGAAAAACAGGTGATCGTGACATACGTTTCCAGTAGGGCAACTTTTTCTGTCGCACCGATGAGGCTGTAGTTCGTTCACTGATTTGTATCATATCGTTGGATGCCAGGAAGCGGAACAAAAGACTACATGTTCCAGCGAGAGAAGAGACCGAAAGAGACAGTTGAAGAGCTGCACACGCTATCGGAAAAGCTGCAAATACTAGCACTATCAACACATTGGTAAATTTGTTAAAGGATGAAACTGTTATTTTTCAGCTTTTTATGTTACCAGCAGACAGTTAAGTGGAAAATTAATCTAGTAATGGCCTTGTTTGTTTGCACTTTCCCTAATATTTAGTAGTAACTACTACTGATATGCTTTTAATTAAATCCAAATAGCAGAAGGTGCGCTGTGCACCCTGTTCTATAAAATAATATAAAATCTACTTCTAATGTGGCGTTACTTGGCAGTTGGATGCAGTTTATTCTCACACTTGATAAACAATACATCTTTATTGTACGAGCTTTTTCTGGGAACGCAAAGGAAGCACGGGATTCCGCGTCGCTACCCGATTACGTATACGTTTACGTTATTTGCGTTGTTTTAGATCGAGTGAAAACCAAAACCGGTTTAATGGATTTATAATACTTGTTGATTACAGTGTATTTATATGCGTCCAAGCCGATAGATAAACGATGCTACTTCCGCCTCTTCAAAAAAGTAAGTTCGTGTTAGTTACCTGATCAAATTTGAAGACTGTTGGCAAAATTAGAGTTGTGTTCATATTCGGTGTTGCTAAAAATAGCTAGCATCAGTTAACTGAGACCTATAAAACAAACTCACAGTAGCATTTAGCTGCGGCAAACATAACTTCGCTTGTCAGCTAAGCTGCTCCTTTGTAGCGAAAGTCACAGCTGGGTCAGCATCAACCTTGGAACGCTTAAATTGAACTTGGTGAATCCCTGACATCCTGATTAGCGATGAGACTAAAGTTGGGGTGGGCTTCACGTCTGAGAAGCTGGAATCACATTCTGTGTAAAACAACAGTTTCAGTTAAAGCTCCACATGTTGACTCGTCTGTATCAACTCTCTCTGTCTCCCTGCAGCCGACACATGTCCCGCAGCCGGTTGAGCTCCTTCAGCTCCTTCCTTCCCTGCAGCCATTCTGCTCTCTGCCGGGCCAGATTCAGGAGCAGCAGTGCCGCCTCCTACCCCCCGCAATTCATCCCTGCTCCTCATCCATGGTGGTCAGTGCGGGGATTTCCCCCCTGGCCTCCTCGACCCCCTCACTCCCACCCAGCAACCCTTCAGCTTTTCATTGGTCGTGCATTACACCTTCAGAATATCCACCCTCGATTATTCTTCACCTCTGCCGGCCTGATGATGGAGCGCCCTGACAGAGAGAGAGAGCCTCCTCACAAAAGGAGGAAGAGTACAGAGGAGAAGAGGAGTGTGGAAGAGAGGGGAGGACACAGAGGAGGAGTAGCAGGGGCACCAGGAGGCAAGGCCAAGGATGGAAACTCTAAAAGGGAGCACCGTCACCTGGATCCCAGCTCAGACGGCCACCCTCGGCCAAACCACTACTTAAGAGATGGAAGCCGAGACAGAAGAAAGAATGGCACTGGGGCAGATGTCAGTGGGGAAAACAGCAGAGGTAAAACTGTAGAGAGGACTCAACCAGAGAGGAAAGACAGCAGAAGTCAGGAAGAAACTTTGACTCGAGGGAGAAGCGAACACCAGCAAGGAAGGCATAAAGATTCACAAACCGCAGGGTCTAGGACTCAAACCTCGAAGTCCAAACCTGAGCAGGATGCAGTTCCCATGCAGAAACCTAAACTCAGCCCCTGGTTCACAGAGAGGGGTGCAGAGGAGCAGCGAAGGGACAGAGGCAGTGGTGGAGGACAGTGGATGGGGCTTCTTTCACAGCCTTGCAGCACCACGTACCCCCCCAATCCATGGCAGGTAGCTGGAGCCGGCAGGCAGCCTCCTCCACCTGGAACATCCCCACCTGTCAGCCAGCAGCACGAGGCTGCACCAGTGAAATGTAAGGTCATTGTCTACAATTTATATTCTACTGTATGTAACTTCCAGCTGTTCTCCAAAACAGAACGTGTTTTTAGATTCAGTCTTTAGTTCTACTTCATTTACTGAGGAATAAAAATCTATTTAAAACATCCCAAAACGTTTGAACTAGGATCCACTTTTTAAATAAAAACTGAATTTGTAGTTGAACCTCTGCTTGTTGGTGCATCCAAGGATACTCAGATATACAAGGCTTGAGTTGCTTTCTGAGTAGCTCCTCATGGGAGAAATGACCAAGTCGACATTGTCCCACATTCACATTTGCTTATTTTCCTCACCTGCAAACTTGTGAACAGCTCACTTGAGGAAATCAGCTGAGTGAGTAAAGCAGCAGCCAACAGGTCGTAAACTTACTGGTTTTTGGATTCACTGTGACGGTTCAAGTCTTACATGCGGTGGCTTTAAAGTAAAGCACTCATTGTCAACAAGCAACTCGTCATACGTAGATCAGAACGACGTTGTTGTTGGTTCTTTAGGACAGGAAGGCTGCTGATCTGAAACTGTTCCTTCACTATCGTTGTTAGGGTGTCTTCTCAAATAAAAGAACTTTCCTCACATCGTCCTTGCCACTCTCTCCTCAGCTCTTCAGAGGTGCTGGGAGTTCTCTCCTGACTGCAGTACCTGCCTCCAGCCACCAGGGTTCAGGACAGCCTTTGACTTCTCTGTGATGTCCTACAACATCCTGTCTCAGGAGCTGCTGCAGGACAACACCTACCTGTACCGACACTGTCACCCCAGTGTGCTGCCCTGGCACTACCGGCTGCCCAACCTGCTGGCGGAGATCCAGCAGCACGACGCTGATGTAAGTGGGCTAGAAATTCTAGGAGATTGGAGATGTCGGGTATAAAGTTCAAAAGGATATACAGTATATGATTACTATGATTATAAAACTTGTAATTCCAAAATCATGGAAGTTAACCTGCTGCTTTCCACCAGTCAGTTACTTCCCAACAAACAGAAGAAAATTCAAATCAAGTTTTATTTAAAGTACGATTTCACACCAGAGTGTCAGCACACATTACAACCAGCAAAAACAAACCTCAAAGAACATCCTGGAATAATGACATTGAATACAACATACAACATTGTAAATAATAGAAATATAGAGTAAAATACACTGAAAAAAGGTTTATGGGCCTGACTGTGAAGCCACAACCATTAAACACAATCTCAGTACAAGCATGTGTGCATGAGTGTCCTAATAATTTTGGCCATACATGAACCATTCTGCAGTTTTAACTTCAGCATCTTTGGTCATCATTTAGAATAAAAACTTTTTTCCAGGTTTTGTGTCTTCAAGAAGTCCAGGAGGACCACTATGAAAACCAGCTTAAACCTTCACTAGAGAAACTAGGTAGTGTGTGTGTGTGTGTTTGTGCACGCTCTTCTTTTGTTCTCTGTTATATCAGTAGTACTTTAAAGCATCTTGTAAGGATCAAACATTTAATGTGAAAAGATTGACTGTATATTACACTTCCCCATCCACCACATGCTTGTTTATGTCTCTGCCTTTCATTGTTTTGTGTTGAAACTGTGTGTGTGTGTTGCAGGTTACCAGTGTGAGTACAAGAAGAGGACCGGCATTAAGCCGGACGGTTGTGCTGTCGTCTTCAAAGCATCCCGCCTCTCACTTGTCTCCTCTAATCCTGTGGAGTTTTTCCGTCCGGGCGACGCCCTCCTCGACCGGGACAATGTGGGAATGGTTGTGCTGCTGCGACCTAATAGCGGCATGGGCCAGCTGGACCCTTCCACCTTTATCTGCATCGCCAACACTCACCTCCTCTATAACCCCCGCCGTGGCGATGTGAAGCTGGCCCAGCTTGCCATCCTATTGGCTGAGATCAGCCGGCTGTCTCGCCTCCCGGACGGGTCGACCAATCCGGTTGTACTGTGTGGGGATTTGAACTCAACCCCCTGGAGTCCGCTGTACAGTTTCCTGACCACAGGCTGCCTGGACTACAGAGGAATGCAGATCGGAATGGTGAGACACGAGCAGTAGAGCCGGAGCGATTCATGGATCCAATCAGTTATTGATCATATCCATTCACTGTTTAAAGCATTTATCAAGCAAAATGTCAAACACCTGCATGTTCTACTTTCTTAAATATGAGGATTTGTTAAATTTTGAGTTTTATGTGATTGTAAACTGAACAACGTTTGAAGCTGTGTTTGTTTGTTTGAAGGTCTGGGAGGCAGGTCTCATGTTTTATTGAGGAAAGCAGATGTTCAGTGGTCAGATCTTTAACACTCACTGGTTTTGTACATGTGTGCACAATGTATTTGCTACCCTACATGTGCTGTATTGGTGTGTGCGCATGCAGGTGTCGGGTCAGGAGAACAGTCCTAGAGCTCAGCGTCTCCTCACATGTCCAATCTGGTCTCAGAGTCTGGGAATCAACCATCAGTGTCAGTACGAGGACACCGTGGCGGCAGAGCCGCCGTCCTCCTGCAGCCCCACAGGTACTGATATATCACTACTCATTCAGGCTTTGCTATGATTACTTCAGTCTTAGATTAGTGCTGCTTTAGCGAAGTTAATTATTTTGCTTTTAAATTATAGTAGGAGTGGTTTCTGATTCTGTGTTCTAGCTCAGGCCAGGATTTACTCAGTTACTTTAGTGTTGCAGCCACTAAATTGTGGAATATTTTACCTCTCAATGTTAGATCGGCTACCGACCTGTCTTTTAAATCATTGTTTAAAAGATCAAGATCAAAGATTGTTTTATTGTCAATTCACTATATGAGCAGGACATACAGAAAAATCGAAATACTGTTTCTCTCTCACCTAATGTTGAACGCCCATACATTTAAGAAACTAAAATAGAATAAAAGTAGAATAAACACAGAATAAACAGAATATGGAAACTGAATTAAAGTAATAAGGATAAACTAAATGGTACAGCCTAATAGGCTATGAAGAAACTCAAAGCCATGTGCAAACAGTAACAGTAGTGCAAATAATAACAAGAAGATTGTCAGGTGGTCAGCAGCTTATGAAATGTACATGGACAGCAGTGCAAATGACCAACAGCAGCAGATATGACGTAAATGGCTTGTGATACTTAGTAGGGCCTGATGTTTATCTTTTAATTAATTGACTGTATGCCATTTGTGTGGCTGTGTTATTGTGCTGTTTTATTCTTGCATTGATTCTATTATTTTATATACAACAACTGGTTGTTCTTTTTAAAGTGCTATATAAATTGGTTTGATTTGATTTAGTCCTGACTGATAACATGTTAACGTGGTGCAGGTTAAAGGTTCTTCTGAGATTAGTGTTGTTGTGATTGGACTAGACCAGTGTGGATGATTGTTATCGTTTTGTTGAGCCTCGTCACTGACGGCCGCGTCCCTCTCAGCAGTAGAAGGAGCGATCTCCAGCCTGACTATGGAGGACCTGGCCGCCAAAGCTGCTGCTGCTTTCAGCAGGTATCTGTTCCTCTCTGCTGTGTTCCATGGCAACACTCACTGCAACAACAGTCACAGCTGGAAAGTCTCACAAAAACAGTGTATTACCAATTTGAGGGTAAATGTAAAAAATTCCCTTTGTCTTTATCCAGAGAAATCTGTTTCTGTCACTGTTATAAAGCTGAATATGTCTTTAACCCAAGTATAAATGAAAACATAAATAAATGCATTTACTGTGATAATGTGAAATGAATGAAGGTGCACAGCCTCTAACCCTGTGTGTGTGTGTGTTTGCGTTCAGAGCGAGGATCGAGCACAGCCTAAAGCTGCAGTCATCCTACCAGCACTGCCTGATGCTTGATGGGAGGCCTGAAATCACCACCTTTCACTCGCGCACAGCCATGACGGTCGATTACATCCTGTTTACTCCCGGTACAGACACACACACAAACACTTTCCTTACTAGTGTTTTAATGGTACTGATGCTGGAGTCAGTGCCTCGGTTTAAGCACCAAAACCAGAATTATGCTTTTCCCTCCTAGTCTTAAATTCTTCTCCAGACCTTTTATTTGCAGCTTAAAGAAAATAATTCACATTTTTAAAGTATGTCTGCGATTAAACAGAACAGAACGCTAACTAAATAAAACTCCAGATTTAATTCAGTATGTGATCATTCATTTTGTGCCAATAGCTGGGAAATAATTTTACACTTGTTTTAAAAGTATTACAGTAACTAGAGTCCTTCACAGCCTTACTTCTGATTTCCTGTTGTCATCTTTTCTTTTCCCTCCCATTCCCTGCTTTTCACTCTTTATCTTGTCACACACTCTCTCTCTCACTCTGCTTTCCTCTCAAAGAACTGATCACCCCTCCTTCACTTCCTGGTGGGCGGGGCCTCCAGCTTTTGGGCAGGCTGTCATTGGTCGGCCAGTCGGAGCTGGAGGAAGTTAACGGCCTGCCCAATCAGCATCACTCGTCCGACCACCTCCCTCTCCTCGCTCGTTTCCGCCTCCGGTACTGACCCGGAGTCGCTGGACACCTGATCACAGCTGTCGTGCACAGTGCAGAGAGAGTACAGCTCAGGGAAGATGGGACATTTGGAGATGCACACAATAATGACAGTTTAGTTCAAGCGAAAGGCTGAAAGTCTGATTTTGAGTTCGTTCTCTGCAGTAAACAAACCTCAGAGTAGTGTTTTTTTTTTTTTGGTACAACTGTGTTGTCCAAGAAGAAAAGTAAGCCACTGAAACAGACAGAAAAACCCAAAACCCACTTAATCAGTTAAATGTGATGTGACCCACAGTGTCGCTAAAGAAGAAAAAATTAAATGCAAACCTCACTTGTCCCCCTGCGTCACATAACTAACAGACTTAAGCAAAGCTTGAAGGTTTTATTTATTGGTGTTTAGTTTTTTATTGCTGTTTTCTGTCAGCATGGGAATCTATGAAGGGGGACATTTTAAATTTACAATGTGAAACTCTTTCTCTTGTAATTTGACTGTATCATAAGAAAATAAAGTTTGTAATTTTATATTATATAGATAAAATTAGCCTTTACAGAATATTAAAAGTCAACACTTTCCCTGCAGATTCAGGCTGTCACGTCCTGTAGACCAGCACAGGCGGACACACTTGTTGCCGTCGGTCATTATGTTGGAATGAAACTCCACCAGTGTGTTTATCTCATGGACTTTGTGCTGTAATTTCAGACTTGCAAATAACCAACAGGTACCAAGGGTGAATATATTTTTGAAGCATTTTGGAAAGAGATTTGGGTAGTTGGTCTGTAAATAATGTGTTTTGACAATTTATTGGAAACCCCTCTTTATTCATACTAAGTATTAGTGGTTTTAATTGTTTATTTTTTTTAATTGGAGGAATGAGCCACAGTTTTATTTAAAAGCCTAAAACATGTCTTGTAACCTTTCTTTTTCCTGTTCCTTCTCCTCAGCACACAGTAAGGATGCCCTTTAGTGGTGGCACACAGCATTACACCAGTCTTAGTCTTAGTCCTGATATTCGATCTCAGGCTTTCCTAGACTATTGGGAAATCAACAATAGTTTATTTCATTACAACATCCAAAAGCAGCACAGACCTCTGGTGTGTTCTACCTTGTGAAGATGACCAATAACAGAAGCCAGCAAAAGTTCTAAATGTTTGTCTATCCAGTAGCTGGATAGCATTAAGGGCCCAAGCTGACACTGCCCTGACAGTGAACTAAACTCCAGCTTACCATATTTCATATACACTACTGGTTAAACTCCAGCTTAGCAGGGAAAAGGGCATCCTGTGCCCTGACAAGGAAGTGAACCCCACCCACCCAAGGGGGTGCTTGGTTTGATGCAAGGCACAACTCAGGAGTACTGAGGTTTAGTGTGAATCATACCTGAATCTGATTGGACAGTGACAGACAGAACAGAGTTACAATTGTCCAATGAGGTAGTAGCTGGGTTCTTCAAGTTAGTCTCCTGGTGGCATGTCTGTAAGTTTGGTTGTGGTGGAGACTCAAGACGGAGACCAGCCGGAGGTGTTCTGCTACTCAGGTGGGTCACATTAGAAAATCACCTAAACATTTCAGTGTTGCGTTTTGTATGTAGGCGGCGCGCAGTTGCTTCGCTGTTAACAAAGTTGTCTACATGTATATTTTCTATTCCAGGTGGGATACTTTATCTGGCGTTAGCAAACCTCTGCTAGCAAGAAACATTTCGAGGGTAACGTTAGCCGTTGCTTTGCTTGTTGTCAGGCTAATTGTAAAACCTGTTCAGTCTAGGAGAAATCTCTTAGAGCTGACTTGTAACTTATTCCCTGTTGGATGTGTAGTGTTGTAAATGAAAGAACTCCTCTAGTTTTACATGTCCCTTTAATGTAGAAGTCTTTATATTTAATGTTAATCGTGCCGGTTTGGACCTCACCTGGTCTTCATCAGCCTGGAAACTTAACAAATTGTTTGCACCTGTATCCGTCCTCAGGAAGACCTGGTGAGGTTCAAACCTTTTGGCGTCTTTTTACTGAGATGCCCCATTACAGGTAAGAGTGCTGCATTTCAACGTGTTGCTTAAATAATAGTGCAAAGTCATTAGCGGCAAAATGTACCTAAATTACCAAAAGTGAAAGTAGTCACTGTACAGAATGAGAGAAACCATTTCACGTTAATGTATATTTGATTTTAATTTCTGGTGCATTGTGTTAATTTTAATGTTGTAGCTGGTAAAGGTAGGGATAATTTTAACTGTTAAAATGTGAACTTCTGGTGAGTAGCTTGTAAATTTCTCACCAGAGATTACTGATGATTAGGTTTATACTGTAGTTCCTTTTTAATTCATCTAATTCTGAAAAGAAACTATAAACTCAGCAAATCTAGTGGAGTAAAAAGGTATGATGTGAAGAAGCAGAAACTAAAAATAAGTACAGATGCCTCAATTGCACTTATGTAACTAGTAAGCACAGGCTAGGAAAGGTCAGGTGAGTGGGGGAGGAGAGGCTCAGAAGTGCAAGAAAAATGAATTGGTTGTCATTAAAACCTAAAGAATACAATAACCCTTGAATGAATCTTTGTCTAAAATGTGCATTTAGTAAGAGCTGTTGACTCTCCCTACATGTTTTGACGATTTTTATGTAATGTGATAGTTTGTACAGGTTTCTGTGATCAATGTAAGTTATAACTAGGACAGACTTTATAGGACTAACTCCCCCCATGTATCTTTCAATAGGCCGCACACTGTAAATAGTCTCAAATGTGTTGTGAGGACTGACAGCGTTCCAGGGCCCTGTCTACATATGGACATCAACTGCAAGTCGATGAGGTGAGAAACATGCTACAGTTGTGGTGGTTCAAGTGAGAGTACCATCAGGTCAGACTAATTTCTCAGCACTCCCCTCCCCCCCCCCCCCCCCTTTCAAAAATGTGATAAAAAATTCTCAAAACATTTCATTCTTTGCTCCAATCGCACTTCCTAGGTTATGGTGTGCACATTGTCAGAATGAACTGTAACAGTTTCACTTACTGTATGATAATGAAGCTCAAAGCCTGTATTGCTTTAAACGTGTTAAAGTAGATATAGGATTGTCGTTTCCCTTAAGAGCAATGGTCTAAATTCACTGTGCATAAACTTGTTTGAACTCAGGCACAGGTTCTGATCCTCCAGAGCCATGGCTGCCTTGCTTCTGGAGTTCTTTGATGATGAAAATACAGCGTTCAGGTACTCTGTGCAATCTCACCAGAAACACTGAATAATTTGATGTTCCTGATATGACCCTCAGGTATGTCAGTGGGCAGGACAAACACCTTTATGGGAAGGCAGAAGTGTATTCAGGTGGTGGGCTGCCTTAGATTTGTTAATACTGCATTAAAGTAAATGAGCAGTCTTACTATGCCACACCATGGATTTCCCAGGAGGAAAGTGCAAGCTGTGCATTGTTTGTGCTTACTGTCCATGTCATTGCAGAAACATTTTATTGCCCTGTACAAATGCACCATCTCCCACACAAACTGAAGTTTTGGCCCAAGATTGGTCCTAGACAGCACCCTAAAGGGTGAGGTTAAAAAGCAGACCCAGACAGTTTGCAGACAGTTTGCAGTAGCATTAAAAAAAAAAAAAAAAAAAGGCCCTGATAAGACTGAAGGTTGAACACAGGGCCTTTTTAAAACACTACTCCCACATGGAGTATCTTTTCATTACACCTTTCTGAAGTTTGGGTATAAGAGGGGCAACGTACTTGTGGGTCATCAAGGTAGAGTCCTCACATTTTCTCCATGTGCCTGGACCACAGTTGAAAACTTCTCCAGTCATGTTAAGAGAACTCACAGGTTACATGACTGGAGAACTCTTCACAACTGTGGTCCAGGCACATGCAGTGCAACAGCATGGAGAAAATGTGAGGTACTGTACCTTGTTGACCCCCACCAGTAGGGGTTTCCCATCTTACCCAAAACTTCAGCAGCTGGCTGCAAAAAAAGTTAAACTTTGATTTCAATAATAAATGGTCCATTTATAAAACAGACTTGCCTGTCTCTATGAATGTCCTCAAGAATGCCGATGATTGTCTGGCCACAGAATGACATCTGGTTGATTGCCTAAGGGGGAAATGGAAAAACTTGGGTTGAAATTGGAGCTTATCATGCTTTAAACTCATCACATTGGTTTGATAAGGTTTGCGTCATTTTGAAGGCTTTTAGAAAGCACATTTTTACATGCAGAATGGACACTAAAGTTCCAAGTCACCGTTATCCATTTTGACAAAATCAGGGGATAGATTAGATAAAAACCTGGAATACAAAATGTCAACACATGTTGAAATGCTGTCTCTGAATTACTGGTGGCAAGTCCCAAAAAAGGTTCGCCATCAAGCCTATAAGAAACATTCACTTCTGTTTACAGTAATTTAAGCTACTCTTGGAAAAAGGTTCCACATTTAAGCAATACTAAACCAAAGGAATGTTCAACTTCAATGGTCTGAACAATTTACTTACCATCTGAATTGTCTGGACTTCGTCGTGGCGCCAGGTGCCTCCGAGTTCTGGAGTTGACGTACTCTTTGGGTGCACTGTATTCAACAAATACATTGTTTTACAGTTACTTGCCTTTCATGAAATAGTGGTGGCTGCAAACAAATCCGTTGGGGGAAATGAACTACATAAATATTGTGCACATATACATACACACCCCTATCCCTCATCTATGCAAAGTATGGTCAGTCCTATTGTGCATATTGCCAAAATACAGCAACTGAATGCAAGTAATGAAGTACTATCAAGTACTAGTACAGTCTCAATACAATAGCAGCACCCCCACCCAGAGCATCTCTTAGGAGGGAGAATATTTTGTACAAATCTATGTATGAACTTGCACTGTTTCTATTGTTCTGGTGAACTTACCCATCCACAACTTAGAGAAAGTGAAGTGTCAATTTGTTCTTGAACAGGGAAATGTCAAGCACGAGTTTCCCCATTGCTGGTGATCTGGAGCATCTTGTTTGTGTAGCCAACAGAAACAGGATCCTCTGGCCACCGCCACCTTGAATGTAGAACAGGAGCAGAATAAGACAAGTGTCAAATATAGATTTAATAAGAGTTTCTACAATGAAAAAGGTCTTCATTTGATAAATACATCTGCGTTTAGCATTTTCTAAACAATATCCAATAGTTATAGGCACTGAGCAGTGAATTAACTTCGTGTCTCCCTCGGTTGTTAACCTAAAAACATTACAAGACTCCATCAGCTGCAGCTTTATACAAGTCATCCTCCAATTAGTCTTCATTCCTGGATACTCAAAGACCTTTAGTAATTAGATTTAGACATGAAATTCTCTCCATTCTTTAACGTGACGTTACTTACCAATAGTTTTTGATGTCATTAAATCAAGGCATTGCACCGTCAAAACCTGCTGGTATTTTGAACACGATCTTAATTTAAACAAACCAGGCTTTCTGGGCGGTTCATTAATGAGGACTGGCTTGTCTGGACACAGACGTGGCAGAAACTCAGTACTCACGCAGGTTTCTCCGCTACAACAAAGAAATCCGTGTCAAAGACCAGAGTCTTCTAAACATTAGTGAACGTAGGCGTTTAAAACATGAGTGCTAACGTTAATCTAGTCCGGATACATTAGATACGTGACGCCGTTCAGACTACAGAGCCAACCGGGGACAGGTGGCTAGTTACCGCTAGTCACGGCAACATTTCCTAGACGCAAGTTTTACCAATTAACCTAGCTGTTAAAATGAACATGCTAAAGCAAAACATCGTGTCGGAAGGATAACCACACATGGAGCCAATTAAAAGGGCACGCGCTTGGCTGCCTAAAGCCCGAAAGGCTTCTTGCTAGCAGAGCTTTAAAGTAGCCTACATGAACTGGAAATTACACATTTATTCAACTGAGTTACCTCAAAGTAACAGCTAAGCATCTGCATAAACACAGAACGCTGCACATTAAATGTTTATTGTAAAAGATCTACAGTAAGTCAACCTCACCGGTGAGCCTGGCCGTCCAACCCGTCACCATTTCATCTTCTGTCCGTCCTTCCTTCCTTGGACACGGTTGGTTTCCTGCCTTATATACCCCACCGACTGACAGGTGGCTGTAACGAGCTCATCAGTGTTATTCACTTCACCTGTCGGTGGTCACAATGTTATGCCTGATCGGTGTATGTGTCAATAGTCAGAATTCCTACTGGTAACTGAGTTATACTGCAATTTGCTGCATTCTATCTGTATTATTTTCTTACCAACATACATATTTTTTGCATAATGGTATTTATTTGGTAACAATCTGAATGTGCTAGGTTTACGTGCAGTTTTTGTGAAATCAGTGCCCTCATTAAAATGCACATTTATGCAAATTTGTATCAGACCATCATCTACTCTATAAGTACAGAGCATATCTATTGCAGAGTCACAGACAGCAGCATGAACATAATGTCCCATCTAGGCTACTGTAGTAACGGGACATAAAAAGCACTTTGAAATAATAATGTCCATAATCACAATAAAAATAACCCCTAAAAACTCCATTAAGAATGATGAAAATAATGACGTTTTCATATTTCTTGAATGATTTCACAAATTGTGCAAATATACATTTTACACAATTTATTCATATGATTATTAATTTCAATGTTTTTATTTATTATTATTGAACACTCCATTTCCAGCTGTCCCTGGTAGGCTAGTGGTTAAGTTTCCATAAAAGGATTTAAATCTGAACTGTTCTCACCTGTAAACCAACACCAAGTGTTTAGATACTTGGGATTACTGTGCTGTGACAAACTAAACTGTTTGTCAGTAAAATGCATGTGGAGGTATTAAACAACTCTAAATATACTCATGAAAAGTAGATCCCAACACATCTTCATCAGTTTAATGCAGTAGCTGATGTGCTCAGTATACTGTACACAGCCCAGCTAATACTGGAGCTGAGACAAACTTTAACTTTATTGTCATTGTACATTGTGCAACGAAATTAAAAATGCAATCCTTCGATGATAAAAAATAATCATAAACAATAAAACCCAACAAATTTACACACTTGCATCCATACACATCTGACTATTGCAGTTCCCGTAAAATCCCATCAATCATTCAAATTTTAAGGTTTTAGCAGCATTTAAAGCAACAATAGCTCTCGGATAAAAACTGTTTCTTAATCTGTTTGTCCTTGCTATAATTGTTCTGTATCTTCTCCCCGAAGGCAGCAGTTCAAACAGACAGTGTTCAGGGTGTGATGGGTCCTGCAGAATGTTTTGTGCTTTTTTCAAGCAACGGGAACTGTACAGTTCTTCCAGAGATGGTAGGGGGCAACCGATAATCTTCTGGGCTCTGGTAATAACCCTCTGGAGCGCTCTCCTGTCTGCAGCTGTGCAACTGGTGAACCAGGCACAGACACAGTATGTTAAAATGCTCTCTATTGAGCAGTGATAGAAGGACACCAGCAGTTTCTCATTCAGATTGGTTTTCTTCAAAAGATTGAGAAAATACAATCTCTGCTGGGCCTTACTCACCAAAGCAGTGGTATTTGTTGTTTTCCCAACACCAGCCACAAAGCCGCTCTACCTCATCCCTGTAGGCAGACTCATCGTTCCTTGAGGTAAGCCCCACCACAGTAGTGTCATCAGCGAACGTAATGATGGTATTGCTGGGGTGGGTAGGGGTACAGTCTTGTGTATAGAGCAGGGGACTTAGATGACAATACGTCTCTCATTACTAGTGTAATAGTTTTGAGAAATGTTCCCTTCAATTCAGTTTCTTAACACTTGTGACATAATATGTACTATGTGGGACATTTTACAGTGTAAAAATAACCTGTTAAACAGCTAAATTACAAACATTTGGTGTTTTTGTACTACAGTTTGTTATATACATATATATGCCAAAAATACCAATAAGAAAATCAGCCAACAGTACTGACTCAGCCAATGTAGCAATCAGGCTCAAACCAGCTAATTTAAATGAACAAAAACATGCACTAAAGCTGTATTTGGACACAAAAAAAACACTGCAAAATTAACAAGTAGCTGTAGCCATCAGATAAAGGTAGTGAAGTAAAAGAAAATCTCGCAAAATCAAACCATTCCAAGTTCAGTTTGAGAAATCCAGCCAGTCCCACGTCTCCCTCATGTGACCGCTGAAAAGAAGACAGACTTTTAAGACTTTTAAGAACATAGATCATTTATTCAAAGAGCATGTGTGCTAAAAACAGCTGCTGTCAGAGCAGTAGGAGACTTTTTGTCTTGGAGGTCACACTTTCTCCTAGTGCTGATCTCCACAGGAACACAGGTTTAGACTGACTGAACACAAATATTAGTTTGTGTGTGGGGCAGTTGTTCAGGGCTAACGTCATCTCTCCCGAGTGTCCATTGGTCCAACCTGTAGCCTTCTGTCAGTCTAATCGGCTCTGGCTTGGTTTGGGGTTTGGGGGAACTGTACAGAACTGTCCCTTTGTTCGTTGCAGCACAAAGCAAATCTCTCTGCTTTTTAAAGTTTACAACAAGAAATGTGTTTCCAGAAACAGGAACCGAAGGTGGTCACAGAATTTCAGGACATATAACAGGCAAACAAAGCCCAGTAGCCAAACGCCAGGGGTGTGGTGGCAAACGCCTGTGATCGTCCAACAAAACACAGCAAAGACACAAATTTGGGTCCGCTTTTTGCAGAAAATCTATTTTTGTCAATTCAGCAACCACAGTGCACAAATACAAAAGTTAGTTTTTTGGCCAGCAAAGATTTATCATTTTAATATCATTTATTTCCTTCATTGGTTTAGTTTTAAGGATGGACAGAATTTACATTAAAAGTCCTAAAATGCTATTGGTGACCTCACAGCTGAAAAATGGGCCTCAGCAGAACAGAGATGCAAAATCTGTGTGCCACCAAATTTGTGTCCAGTGTGTTAAGTTGCCGTATTAATCGCTGATTTTAGGACAGAGCTCAGAACAGCAAGTTTAGGCCTAAGGAGGAGTTGATAAATGTGGTTTCAGCTCATGGGAAACAAACCAAAGGCCTTTAAAAAAACAAGTGTTACAAGAACAAGTTCATGTTTTTGAACGAATACTTCTTATTCATAATCCTAGAATACAAACCCGTCTCAATACAACTGGTCTGAGAACACACAACTCCAAAGATAGTTTTATAAAACAGCAAAACAAAGACAGAAGCCTTCACTAGGATATACTGTCGAGCACAGACATCTCTATGGCAAACTGACAAAAACAGACTTCAGCTGCTACACCGAGTGTCACTGTTTCGAGTTGTCGTTTTGTCGTCTGCGACTCCGGTAACACTTAGCAGTCATAGTTTGTGTGCGGGTTGTTGTAGTTTGTCACTGTTGCTGTGTAAAATCCTCTGAAGCGCAGTCGTTTGTCTCTGAATCCGAAGTCTTCGTCGTCATTGTGCAGCGGAGAACAGAGGGAGCTTTAGGTCCTTGGTAACTGTTAAATCTCCTTTAGTATTGTTCCAAAAACACACGAACAACAGTCAGAGAACAGGTGTTTGTCTTTCCTTAAAAGTGTTCGAGATATGTTTCTTCATCAGTTTGTTCCCAACCTGACATCAAACAGATTGAATACTCAAAAAGCGAAGCGGCTTTGTGCTTCATTTAATGCTAACAAGCCTTATCAGCACAACGTTCGGTACACATGTTGAGCTGGCGGCTTGGTGCCAGAGTTGGAGCTGTGACAGTCAGACCTCTGGCTCTGGGCTGTGCGATGGTCCACTGCTGGCCCAATGTCAGGTGTGAAAACACTTCACAGCACCTTGAATCAGTGATAACGCCTCAGGCTGATCTACACAAAGTTGTGGATTTGGGCTTTTTTTTATGTGTAGAGTTATTCTGAATGACCCAGATAAATTTCTGTCCACATGCTCTAAGTGTGGTTTGCTGTGTGTAGATCGAGCCACAAACACCTTCTTGTGTGAATTGTGGAAGACTGGGATTCTTGTTTTTTGTTTTTTTTAATCATAACCTGCTCTAACTCAGCATGTGCATAGCTTACTGTTGAAACAAAAAGCTACGATAGAACGGATGTAGTTCTCGGTCCCTGTAACATTCAGCAAAAAGCGATACATCAAATAAACTCACAGTCTGAACAAAGAGCCCCACAATCCTCCAACTGATGCTGTCACCTACAGACAGACAACAGTTAAAGGTTCAATTTAATTTATTGGTTACAGTTATGAAACACGGATCAAAGATTTGTGGCTATGTTTGCTGTTAACAGTGCACTCATCCTCAATCATTTCATAGCCTTTGTTTCACACTGATATCTTTCAGGCAAAGCGTCATCTGATTGGTGGGCTCAGCTTTGTCAGAAGCGACATTCAAAAAAAAATTGATGTGTATCTTTAGCGAAGCGGACCAAAGAGCCACACGTGGGACAGATGGAGGACCCAACCAGGGGGGCCTGGTGTAATCACAGCCATCGACTAGACTGGCAGTGATCAGCTCCGGCAACCGCACCACAAACGGAACGCAATGCTGGCGCATCCAGTAGAATTTAGGGGTAACAGTAACGATGAATGTGACTTACTCACCAAAATGTCCGTGACTCCAGACCCTGGGTCTCCTTGGTCTGTGTCACTGTTGTCTAGAAACTATTAAACCTGCCCCAGGGAGCCACGCCGCTGCACTGGTGTCCTACTGGTCTGTTTCTAAGCAGCACTTTTGTAGCATGTTTTTTCAGAATTTGGTGCCATCGTTGTAGTACGCCTTGTGGTTCCAAGTGGTGTACACTACACAGTGTGTGTTTGATGTTTAACGTGGACAGCACCTGTTTAAACAGCCAGGACTGAAGGTTTGAGCCCCCCCCCCAAAACATGTACCTGGTGCAGCGTAGCCGAACAAAGATCTTTGCACACAATTTGTCCTTCAAGTTACAATTTCAGATGAAAACCACAGAAGTCGGTTGTTCCTTCAAGCAGACAGATGATTGTATCATCAATTCAACTTTCAGCGATCCAGTCTTGAAAGTTTCTTTATTTAAATTAAGGATTTAATCTGAATGAAAATCCTTTATGTAGTCTCCCTATAGATTCCCTCAGGATGCCAATAAGCAGGACATCTAACGCCTCCATTCTGTGACTAGAGCTGGTCAGAGTGCAGCAGCGGGGGGACCGACTCCTGTAGTTCTCAGTCTGAAGACTGACACGTTCTGTGGGTGTAACAGATGTGGACATACAGACAGACTGTTCCACTACTGACTAAATGTGATTTCTGTTATCAGGGTTTTAAACCAAAATACATTCATCACCGTGTTACTTGGCGCTCGTCTTGTAAACGTGACATGAATGAGGCTTCTGTTGCAGCATTCACTCAGCCGACAACTTCTGCCTTTGCTCTTTGTCTGACTGGACAAACTGGCTGCAGCTGAACGTGGATCAGTTGAATTGTCTCATTTTCCAGCTGTGTCTGCAGCAAACAGCTGGCCAACGGTGTGTTAGTTTACTGTGTGAACACACGGGCTGAATACAGCCTTTTTTAAAGGTGCTTTACGTGATGTCAGAGCACTGTATAGAGTTCAGTGCACAATATAAATACTTTGACCTATATTTTACATCTATAGTCATTCTGGTTAATTCTGTCTTTCATATTTTCAATTTTTTAATACCATTACTGTTGAGATCAGTGGCTCCTTAAATCTGATGAGTTATTTGTACAAAACCTGTTAAATTTTTCCTGACTTTTCTCCGTTTTCTTTCCTTTTTTTCTTTGTATTTGTGGATATGTTACTGAAATCACTGGTCCAGATCAGTGGTTTCTGCAGGGCGGTTGAAGTGTTCAGACGGGTGTGGGAGGACTTGAAGTGTTCTGGAGGTGGAGGCAGGGGATCAGATGCGGATCTGGTAGCCGTCGTTGAGAGTGCTGAGCTCTGGAGGTTTCTTGTCCACTGAGGCCGGCCTGAGTAGAAGCAGAGAAACAGTGATCATGCAGGCGGCCGTTATCATGTTGACATCCTCCTTAATGTTTCTTTCTTCTCGTTGTTCTCTCTACTCATTCAGATACTTCTCTCTCTGCCTGCCCCCCCCTCCAGTGTATTGCTACTCATGGCTTGTGTTTTATATTCTCTTGACTTGTCTCCACTCAGAGGGATGTTAACAAAAAGTAGAGAAATGAGATGGAAAATTACAGAAGTGCATTTTAAAGTATTTTAATGTTCTAATATATTTTGAGATGCACTATGCTTTAAGTTGTTTTTGACTGTTGTAGCTGTATCACATGCAGCCCCCTCCTGCTGCTGGAGTAACACGGTGATGCTCTCGGCTGTTTAGAGCTGCAGCAGATTACGGCTGGAGTCTCGCTTTGAAACGGCAGCACATTAAGTGCCGGGTTGATAGCAGTAATAGCTTTTTAAGTACCACATTCAAGTGGTTTAAAGTGCTAATGAGTGTTCTCTTGCTCTCCTGATCATTCCTCTCTCTGAACTGGTGGAACCACGGACCTCTAAAAAAAAAAAAAAAAAAAATTAAAATAACAGAGTCTGATTGAAAAGAAGATTAGCACTAATAGGAAACGTTTTCATCTCAGTTCACTCATTGTACACACTTACAGATTAATGCAACATGATATGTAAATGTGAATGCTGTAGTTTTTATGTCTGCACTGTTTTTAAGTAGATGGGGAAGTATTAAGTTTAGGACGTGGGTTAGTGAATACTTCACATTTGTAAGCATAACGGTTATAAACCTTTGGTAATCAACTCAGGAGTATGTAATCTATTATTGTAACTATTCAGTAGTTAAAAAAAAAAAAAATCTGGTAGCCACCCCTGGTAGGCTAATGGTGCAGCGCTCTCGCTGCGTCATCCCGGTTTAGAGTCAGGGGTGCGTCAGGAAGGGCATCCGGCGTAAAACACGTGACCAAATGTCAACATGCGACCCCTCAATGGAAAAGCCAAAAGTGACTTTCTTAGTGGTAAAAAAAAAATATATATATATCTACAAAACTGAATTCACAATTTTGCTCAATCCTGTATTTTACTTCAAAGTCCTGTTTGTGTATTTTTATATTGTCTTTTTGTTGTGCCTCGTGTCTTTTCTGTCTATTGTAAAACAAACGCTTTACACTGTGTTAGGTAATTTCTTACTCAGGTAGATATTGATTAGATACTTGTTGTATAGGAATGTTTA